CCCCGCCCCTCCCCCCACCCTCTGGGTTAATTTTGATACCTCGAGATGACGATTAAAGGACGGATGTTTGTAAAACGGGGCTGGGGAGGAGGGGGGCGGACACGCCCCCTGCGCCCCTCCCCCCACCGAGGTTCTTTGGGGGGGCATTGGGGGGGAGGGGCAGGGATTTGTTGTGGGAGGGGTTGGACACGCCCAACATGGCAGCAGCCACGCCCCCCAACATGGCGCCCCAAAATGCCACACCCAACCTGGTGCCCCAAAATGCCACACCCAACATGGCGCCCCAAAATGCCACACCCAACATCGCGGCCCCAATGCCACACCCAACATGGCGGCCACAATGCCACACCCAACATGGCGGCCACAATGCCACACCCAACATGGCGGCCACAATGCCACACCCAACATGGCGGCCACAATGCAAAGCTTACTCCGAGATCCCAAAACATTCCTTTATTTCCCCAAATTCTGACACAAACCCCGCCCCCAACCCAAAGGTGGGCGTGGTCAGTGTGCTCCGGGGGGCGTGGCCTCCCCTGGCAGCGCGCTGGGATTGGACAGCGCCAGGCGGGGCGGGGCCAGGGCGGAGGCGGGCGGGCGCTTCCCGTTGACCACGAGGGACAGGGGGGAGGAGACGCGGATCCCCAGGAAGGAGAAAGTCTGGGGCAGAACCGGAACGGAGCGGTCAGATCCGGCCTGAACCGGTCAGAACCGGTCAGAACCAGCCCGATCCGGTCAGAACCGGTCAGAACCAGCCTGAACCGGTCAGAACTGGTCAGATCCGGCCTGAACCGGTCAGAACCAGCCCGATCCGGTCAGAACCAGCCCGATCCGGTCAGAAGCGGCCCGGAGCAGCCGGCCCAGCTCACCTGTCCCTGGTGCTGGTGCTGGTGCTGGGTCAGGACCGGTTCCGGCAGCGCCAGCGCGTCGCCCACGCTCAGGCCCCAGGCGGGAGCCGCGTTGTACACGGTGACCGCGGCCACGGCCCCGGCGCCGTCCTGCAGCCCCACCGCGCTGGGGGCGGGGCCAGCCCGGTCAGCGCGGGGTCCCGCCCCTCACAGTGTCCAACACTGTCCACCCAGTGTCCACTCAGTGTCCCCCAGTGTCCAACAGTGTCCACTCAGTGTCCACCCAGTGTCCACTCAGTGTCCAACCGTGTCCACCCAGTGTCCACCCAGTGTCACCCAGTGTCCACCCAGTGTCCATCCAGTGTCCAGTGTCCACCCAGTGTCCACCAGTGTCCATCCAGTGTTCACCCAGTGTCACCCAGTGTCCACCTGTGTCCGTGTCCATCCAGTGTCCACCCAGTGTCCAGCCCTGTCCCCCCAGTGTCCACCCAGTGACCACCCAGTGTCCCCCAGTGTCCACCCAGTGTCCACCTAGTGTCCACCCAGTGTCCACCCAGTGTCCACTCAGTGTTCACCCAGTGTCCAACACTGTCCACCCAGTGTCCCCCAGTGTCTCCCACTGCCCTCCCAGTGCTCCCAGTGTCCTCCCAGTGTCCCCCAGTGCTCTCAGTGTCCCCCTTCCCCTCCCAGTGTCCCCGCAGTGCCCCCCAGTATCCACCAGTGTCCCCCCAGTGTCCCCCCAGTGCCCC